TATAAAATTTTATATACCGTTTTGGAATTTTTGTTAATATTTTTTACCCTTTGAGTTTCGGACTCGTGTATTAATTGAGAGAACAATATGTTGTAAAGAAGTTAGTTATGTGTCTTAGCCTAAAAACATGACACACGTATGCTTTGTGTTCATGAGGCAATTATTAAAAAGAGAATAAAAATGTGAATCAAGTTATTTCAATCTTTAACTACGTCTATAACGATTAATTTTTTAAATTTGGTCATAATTTAGGTGGTCATGAATTTTATGATCTTTGATTGACTTGAAATTTGACGATTTCAACAAAAATCGTCTAGATGGATTTATGTAGTTTGTCGGATTAAAATTTGATTTGAATAATGATAAGATCATTCTTTATATTAGTTATACTTATGTTAAATTTGGAACATGATTGTACATGATTATTTGACATGAATTGATATGTGATAAGAATGTAGGTCATATTGTTTTTAATTCCTAAAGATGCTTATCACTTGAAATTGAATTTGGTCATGACTTTGGAAATAAATTTTTTTATAGACTCCAACTGACCTGAAATTTGGTAAGTTCATTGATAACGGCCTAGTAAGAAGTACTAATTGCTATGTGGTTATGATTCTTTGATGTCATTAAAATGATTTTAAAGTTAACTTTTTAAAATTAAAATGTGATTTGTATGAATGACATCCTTTATATCGATTTTATTTAGGCCAAAGTCATATGCGACCACTTAAACTTGTCCCGATTATTCATTTAGACACCTTAACTAGATGTACTACCTATTGAACACTTCAACCATTTTGAATTTGAACCATTTGAACATTTTTTTGAGAATAAACAAAAAGTAGAGGATGTGTGAAATACACTCGCGCTAACATGTCAATTTGACCAATTAAATAATGACATGTGTTATTTTTTAATCCAAAAAATTATTTAAACATTATATTATAAAGAAAAAAAATAAAAAATTATTTTAAAGTAAAAAAAAATGAAAAAAAGGAGTAAAACTTAAACACCCACTTCCCTGCCTTCAATTGGAATCCAAAACATACATATCCCTCTAATTCCATTAATGGCGACCCTCCCCTCCCTGTACAGTTCCATCTTTAACTCGACAATTTTTTTTCATCAGCTTTTTTATTAATTATAACTTTTTACTTCATCTCGTTTTTTAGGTAGAGAAAGATGGGGAAAAAAATCTCTTCGAAAAATTTATAAAAGAAACAAAATGCTAAGAATTTTGAAACCATTAGAATGGTGGGGGAAGAAGATAACCACTGATGCTAAGAATTTTGAAATCATTAGAATGGTGGGGGAAGAAGATAACCACTGGTGCATGGGTATGGGGGTTGGGGTGGGGTGGGGTTGATAGAAATAGGGAAGAAGAAGACAACTGATTTTTTTTGTTAATTATTTTTTTAAAAATTAACTTAGTGGTATAAATTAAGAAAAAAAAGAAAAATATTATTTTTAATAAATTAACGCGCTCAAGGAAAGTGAATTACACGTTTTTTTGCCATGTCAGCATTTTGTGTCTAATAGGAATGACTTTTGAACAAATAAAATGTTCAATTGGCACAATGATTAGTTGAGGTGTCTAAATGAATTATGCGGACAACTTTAAGTGGCTGGAGATGACTTAGGCCTTTTATTTATGTTATATGTGGTACATGATTACATCAGATGAGTTATATGTCATATACAAATAACATATTATGTCAAGTATATACATCGTCATCCGTGCGATAAGAAATGAGCTAAGAGTTGATCCCTCTAATGATAGAAAAAGGGCACTCCTGTCATCGTTTCAGTGACTCATAGGCCTTGGTGCAACCCTATCATTACTCGGAAGTTGTCCTCACCTTAGTCTTTGTTCAATCGCACACATATTCCTTCGATCCTCACCCTCATCTCCACCACCCGCAATCATACTTGATACTCTTAGTTATTGTAGTTTTGACAATCATCTATGTTCTAGTACAATGAAATAATCATCATACTCCACTTCCATTCTTCGAACTTTTTTATTATCTTAAAAAGTGATATTAAAAAACCTAGTTAGCCACTCCAAGTTCCACATATGAGTGATGCCTATTCTATACAACTTTTATCTTCGTCTCTGTTCCCTAGCTCCTTGTATAGGAATTTGAAAACTCCCCCTTTTGCTGTCATAATCAACACCAACTTCATCTCCTTCCTCGCCACCTTGTACATTTTTATCCTCCTTATTTGTGTTCTTCATCAACTTCGCATAAGTAGTCTTCTCTTCTTTCATTTTGTGTTGGACTTCACCAAATCTCCTCAACGTTCACTAAAGAACCCTTCGATACCTTAACACTTCTCTTGCAACTGGTTGCCTTATCACACGTATTGATCGCATTTCCACTATTTGCCCAAGCCACTGTTGCTACCAGCTTAACTTAAAGTCACTTCTTTTGATCTCTGGCCGATCATACCCAGTTCTCTTTTTCTTTTTCTCCAAAATCATCACCAAAAACTTATAATTAATGAGTTATAAGATTCTCGTCTAAAAGCGCTAATCATCAACAATATGAAATATTACCAAATGACCCTCTTGCTTTTGGGAACTCATAGATGAAATCTTTTTTCTTTTTTGGTGAAGTCCTATTTAACGTTTGAAAAAGTAATCGCAATTCGTGATAGGAGTAAAATTAATGCATCAGTATCATAAATATGTAGTTATTAACATAACATCTTTTTATTATATCAAATTATAGTAAGAGAGGCATATTTTAACCAAAAGTATATTTGAACCATTTTCATTAGTATACCAATATATTTGACCCTTCGAATAAAAGTTCAAAATTAAAAGGACAATTTTGTACTTTAAATTTCTCGTAAGATCTTCCCTTCAATAGACGCCAAAAGGAAAAGCGGCTCCATTTTAAGTTGATCAATATTTATCGGGATTGATTCATCAATGGAGAGCTTCCTCAACAAAATCTCCTTCATATCCATTACAATTGCGACACTAACCCTTCTCCTCCTTTACCTCAAAACCCCACAGACCTTCATCAATCCCAATCCAAAGCCCCAACAAAAATTCCCCAAATCCACCTGCGATTTCACCCATCGAACTTTTACCAATATAAACAAACACAATCGCCGTATATGGTCCACCAAATCATGGATCCAAACTGTACATTCTTTCACAATTCAATTCCAATCCCTCCAGGCCCAAAATTTCTTCTCCAACAATTCTCGGATCTTAGTTGTATCAGCCGGGGCGGGTCATTCTGTTATGGCCCTGAATAACATGGGGGTTAACCATGTCTCCGGCATCGAGGTTGTTGAATCGCATCCTCTGGTGCGCCGTGCGGATCCACACAATCTGCCCTTTTTGGATAAGGTGTTTCATTTCGGGTTCAGCCCGTACTTAGAACGGGCCTTGTTTCCGGCCCGATACGTGAGGGAAATGGAGAGAACGGTGAGAGATGGCGGCGCGTGTGTTGTGGCTGTGGAAGAGTGTGGTGGCGAAGAGGTGGAAGAAGTGGTGAAATTGTTCAAAAAGTCGAAGCTGTTAGCGGTGAAGAACGTGACTTTGGGTGGTGAAAGGAGGACAAGTATTGTAATGAAAGTTGTAAAGTGATTAATTAAAGCTTAAAAACAATAAAAATTGTAAAGGGACTGAATTTATTGTGGCATGATAACTCATGTATATTTTTTCAAGATTTATTCTTAGTTCAGTTCAGCATTTTGTTTTATCACTACATTTTATGTGTACAATTTGAAAATATCAATTAAATATATAAATTAAAAGCGTTTTTTTTTCAAAAACAAATTACCTTATGTTTAAAAATTAGTACTAATCTTTTAAAAAAGGTTTAAGTTTTCCTACTCCCACTCATAATGGGATTATAGATACTAATTTCCAAATTTGACTAACCTAGTTCATGCATATAATAAATATACCACCCTCTCATCATAAGAAATTAACTACGTACTTGATGGCATACTCTAATAACCTCTTGCATAAGAAATTAACTACGTACTTGATGGCATACTCTAATAACCTCTTGCTTTTTTGCTTCTTTTTCTCCCTATGCTTCCTCTCATCATATGCTCGAACCAACTGCTCCGATTTCCACTTCCATGGAAAATCCTACAATTCATGCAGCCATCTTCATACTTTGAATTCTTTTATTCACTGGAATTACGACATGACTTCTCGTACTGTTGATATCGCCTTTAGCAAGTCTGAAAGTCAGCACGGAAGATGGCTTGCTTGGGCTATAAACCCAACATCTACAGGGATGACCGGCTCCCAGTATATCGCCTTTACGGTTCATAATGTTTCAGCCCAGTATATCAATGGACAAGTCATTATCTTTGCGAGGTTTGAGGTACCTATGAATGGAAGCAATGTTGTGAATCATGTTTGGCAAGAAGGAGGACTACAAGATGATGATACACCAGGAAGTCATGGCATGTCATGAGATAACTTGAGATCTTTTGGGACTTTGAATTTCCATTCTGGGAAAACTGTGTCTATGAGTAGTCCTAATGTAAAACTAAATTCAAGGTCTAAGATAAAGATAGTACATGGTGTTATCAATGCGGTTAGTTGGGGAATGATGATGCCACTAGGTGTTGTTCTTGCTAGATTGAGATATCTACCATTACAAGAGTACTATTCAGCTTTGTGGTTCAATCTACATATTTATTGTCAAAGTATAGCTTATTTTCTTGGTATTGCTGGTGGAGGTTTGGGATTTTATCTTGGGAGACAATCTTCTTCAGTTAAACAACACTCTTGTCATAGGTACATTGGTGCTGCACTCTTAATGCTTGCAACATTTCAAGTGTTAGCTCATCGTTTACGGCCATCAAAGGAACACAAATACAGGGTGTATTGGAATATTTATCACTGGTGCACTGGTTATGGTACTATTATAATGGGAATTCTCAATTGTTTCAAAGGTTTCCAGATGACGGATGTCGGGATTTGGAAGAATGCTTACATTGCTTTTCTTGCTTCGTTGTCCTTTGTTGCTGTTGTTCTGGAAGTTTGCAGATGCTACCTCACCGCTAACAAAGGAACAGCTACACCAGAAGGAGTTTCTGCAAACAGTATAGAAGACAAGGCATAGAGTTGCAACTATGTTATTTTCAATTTTGTAGGCATAGTTTAATTCGTTGCCCAAATTTCATATACATTCAGATTAGACTAGATGTACTTGTTATTGATTGATGAACGCTATTAAAAACAGGCTACATAAGCAGTTTCTTTTTATGTAAATATAAAAACACGGCTCTATAAACAGGGTTCTTTTTTTACAACTAAGACAACTTCATCATGCGATCTACTTGCTCTACTATACAACTAGCTTGGGTGTTATATATATGAATTGTGGAACTTAGCACTTTAATTCTGACCTTATAAATTCCTCTTAATACTATTTTTAGTACTAAAAATAGTATAACTAGAACCCACAATCTCAAGGAATTTTCACGACACCTTAACCATTTAACTTGTGTCAATGCTTATATATGTATTTACTAAACTAAAATTCAACCTCTATATACAATGTAATTTTCTGACAAACCTCTGGTTGTGAATACGCCCACAGGCCTTCATCAAGATTGGGAGCTCTTAGAGCTCTGTATCTGCATAATAAGCAATTATAATGGCAGACGAGCTGATGAATACAGCAAATGAAATCCCAGACATTCAATGACTTGTCTTCGTGAAATTTAGCAAGGGTAACATGAACACGTGTTTATTGTGCCTTATCAGAAAAGAAAAGAAAGGTAATATTGATAATGGGACTTAGCTTGTTCGGTTTCAGTGTTACTGATAATGTAGATTATATGATACTGAATAATTATCAGTTCAGATTAATTAGACTCATTTACACAAAAAATGGTTACTGTATATACATACACATTATACAATGCTATACATTTGTTATACACCATAAAAAAAACCACCAACTCACTACGCTAATATCCAAATCAAAAGTTCTCAATATTCACATTTGAGAGATTAAATCAATTTGTTGGTGGAGATAATAAATAAAATTCTTCACATTGATGTCTGCAAAGCTTTGAAAAATGAGATGACAAAGCTTTTTTTTAAAAAAAAATTGGACACAAGCAGACTAATGGGTAAAAATGAAGTTTTTTTTTTTACAACTTTAGGTATTACATATAAAAATTGGAAAAATGGAGAAGTACCTTCAACCTATGTCCGAAATTCTAAACACACACTTATATTATACTAAGGTCCTATTATCCCACTGAACTTATTTTATAAGTAATTTTCTACCCCTTTTCGGCCTACGTGACACTAGCTTGAAAGAAAAAGTCAACCAGCATTGAACCTACAAGATGGTGCCACGTATGCCTAAAAGATGTAGAAAATTAATAATAAAATAAGTTCAGGAGTAATAGAACCTTAGTATAATATAAATGTGTCTCTGAGATTTCGGACATAGATTGAGGAGGTACTTGTGCATTATCCCTGTAAAAATTTTGTTCAACTCGAGAATTTCTAGCACATAACGGGGCAAACAAGAAGAATTCCAGTTTAAATCGATATTTTTAACTAAAAATAGGTTGTGCAAAGTTATAATAATAAGTTTAAAATATATTGATAATGTAAAAAGTAATTAATCTACACACTCAAATATCAATTTATATAACCTAAATTCTAAATTGAAATATAAGGAGTTCAAATCTAGTCGGTGCATCCAACTAATTGTAAAACGTGGAAATATATAAAATTATTATTTTTTCTTGAAAAAAGGACTCAGTTAGTGGTGGGCTGGTGGCAGATAACAGCTTCCAAGAAAATTCATATTGAAAATATTCAAACCAATGGAAACGGAAGCTTCGATGTCAAGTTTTGATTAATTAGGAGTGTGTTTAATTTGCTGCCGAGAAAAAGTATTTTCCTAAATTAGTGATAGTTAATTATAGTAATTTTATAGTCCTAAACAAAATTAAAGTTAGTTTTAGTAGTACAAAATATTCTCAAAATTTAGTAAGAGGTCAAGACAAATACATATGTCTTGTATTTCTCGAATAAAAAGTGATTTTGATTAATGAAATTTGATATAAAAATTATTTAACTCTACTATGAATAGAGGAGATCCTTCCAATTCAAGCACAAACTCAATATTAAATTTATTGTAATCGAGACTGACTCTTAGTTATTTCCACCATCATGATAATATATATATATATATATATATATATATATTTATTTATGGAGCGGAACCGCTACCCTAGCTATAAATACATTCTTATTGAATCCAATATTTCACATAAAATAAATCATTTTTGCTATTCCAAATTATGGCATTGTCCTACTATTATATCTTTCCATTTTATTGCTTTCTTCTCATAACAACAATATCAACTAATAATACCCTAGCTAAAACCACTTTCCATCCTAAAACACTATTTCTTGCAGTAAAAAAAGATCCAATTAGCCTACAACACATATCTGAAATTCAACAAAGAACACCTTTAGTTCCCCTTAAACTCTCAATCCATCTTGCTGGTGATAGTGTATGGGTAGATTGTGAAAAAGGGTACAACAGTTCAAGTTACAAAGCAGCTCATTGCAAATCAAGTCAATGTAAACTTGCTAGCACCACACTATGTGGAGATTGTCTTGTGGGATTAGTGGAACGTGGTCCTGGATGTAACAAAGATGGTTGCTACAACACTATTGAAAATCCACTTGTTCAAATATTGACAAGGGGTGAAATCGCACGAGATGTTTTGACAATCAAATCCATTAGCGGCTCTTTTGTAGGTACGTATTTATTATTTGTTGACAACTTTTAAATTTTAATTTCACACCTGACATGTTTAAGACCACGAGATTCAACCACTTTTAATTTTCAGGCCCTGTTGCAACGATTCCAAACTATATATTCAGCTGCGCTGGATCATATGTAACTCAAGATCTAGGTAAAGATGTTAAAGGAACAATTGGTTTTGGACATCAAAGTGCAGTATCACTTCCTGTTCAACTTGCATCAGCTTTCAAATTCACCCGAAAATTCGCCATTTGCTTGAGCTCATCAACAGAACGAAATGGTATAATCTTCATCGGTAACAGCCCTTATTTGTTTAACGGTGGGTTTAATGCCTCGCGAGATCTTATCTACACACCTATACTTACCAGCCCATACGACGTTGTAAGAGACAAGAAGATCTCTGAATACTACATTACAGTTTCATCTATTAGCATCAATGGCAAAAATGTACCAATTAATAAAACGTTGCTCTCATTGGAAAAACAAGGTGGAACAAGTATTAGCACGGGTTTGCCTTATACTATGTTGGCGAGTTCTATTTACAAGGCGGTAACAGAAGCTTTTGTTAATGAAATGCCAAAAGAGGTTAGATCTGTAGCTCCAGTTGAACCATTTACAACTTGTTTTAACTCGAGAGATATTGGTATGTCGCGCCTTGGCTTCAATGCTCCTGAAATTAACATTGGTTTACATAAGAAAAATATGCATTGGACTATTACTGGAGCGAATTCGCTGGTGAAAGTTAACGAGGATGCTGTATGTCTAGCCTTTGTTGAACGATTAACTAGAGATTGGGGAGAAGCTATTATTATCGGTACGTATCAAATGCAGGATAACTTGGTGGAATTTGATATTTCCAGAAGAAGAATTGGTTTCAGTAACTCACTGTTTTTCCGTCAGACTATGTGTTCGAACCAGAACTATACCTAGGCTTGATCTATTACTTTTTCTTGTTTATTGACCAAATGTCGCAATAAATATGAATTATTCTGCTTCTAAGGCTCTGTAGCTACTTTCATCAGTTTCCATCCATGATGCCCTTTGGCTTATTACTATGTTAGCTGTTTTAACAAAATTGATGCCTCTTTTTGTGTATATTATATTACATGACTAGTACTCGAAAGACATAAATATGAGCGATTAAACTCTTTTTTAACTTACCAAAAAAAAAATGTAAATGGAGGGCAAAAATAGAACAAATTTCCAACATTGGACATTGGGAAAAAAAAAGCACAAAAATTTAATTATTATGAACTCGAGGGAGTAATACTTTGCAAGTTTGTTCTACATGACCAGATACTACGTTTATTTTCTGCACTAAATCATATCTGTAGAAAGTAGAACAAGATTTGCCTAACATACAACAAAGAAACAGGAGTATCTTATTTTTCTGAAACTGGAGATATGAGATGTATGGCAGCATCTTTTGGAAGTCACTTAGTTGTCTGCTCATTTCTTGACAAACCCGACGCCCTTCTGGATACTTGTTGCTAGCTCTTTCTTTGCCTTCTCAAGCCCAGTCCTGCAAAATTTAGTATATTGAGAAAAATCTGACCAGTACTTTCAATATATAACAGCACAATGAACATGACAGTTATTTCAAGGGGTAATTGATCAGAACATTGACCTCTCGTATTCATTTAGGGGACCAAGGGGGAATATCTCTTCAACTCCGCTACGCCCAAGCCGTACTTTTGATGCAAAAAATGGAAGTTCAGTCACCTACAAAGATCATTAACCACCACCACTAACTGTCATGACCCCCAAGTTGTCAATGTTCCAGAATAAAGTTATGTGGTGTTAACATATACAAGCTGCAGAGGAACTTTAGCATGAGTGTGTTTAAAATACATGCCTGGGAAGACACAAAGGCACATTGAATAATAGCAGCATCTCCTCTCAATCCATGCAAACATGCATCAGCAAATTTAACCGCAGCATATGCCTGAAAATTTAGGAAAGACTTTGTCATTCAGCCTCGATGTGGATGATATGAACTCTCAATGGCAAAACAAGAGAAATTGAAATAAAGAGCACAGAAATGTTCTAACCATAGAGAGAGTTGCCGAACCAGCACCAGCTTTTGCCTGCAAAAAGAGCACCATGTCCATTCAACAACAGATGAATTCTAACAATGGAGTTAACTTACTCAGTAATTTCTGGTGCTATGACAGCCAAATAAACCATGATATATGCAATCCAGAAATTTCCTTGTTAAGAGTAGCAAGAAAAGGTAGGATGATGGAGAAAGATGATAAATCAATTCAGGAGTGAGACAACAACTTATGGCAATATAGTTGAAGCACGATTCTTGACAT